AGGGAGGGAGTGGTTGCCTGTAGTCAGTGACAGGTAGGCTGTACCAGGGAGGGAGGGAGGGAGTGGTTGCCTGTAGTCAGTGACAGGTAGGCAGTACCAGGGAGGGAGGGAGTGGTTGCCTGTAGTCAGTGACAGGTAGGCAGTACCAGGGAGGGAGGGAGTGGTTGTCTGTAGTCAGTGACAGGTAGGCTGTACCAGGGAGGGAGGGAGGGAGTGGTTGCCTGTAGTCAGTGACAGGTAGGCAGTACCAGGGAGGGAGGGAGTGGTTGCCTGTAGTCAGTGACAGGTAGGCAGTACCAGGGAGGGAGGGAGTGGTTGTCTGTAGTCAGTGACAGGTAGGCTGTACCAGGGAGGGAGGGAGGGAGTGGTTGTCTGTAGTCAGTGACAGGTAGGCAGTACCAGGGAGGGAGGGAGTGGTTGCCTGTAGTCAGTGACAGGTAGGAAGTTGCAGGGAGGGAGGGAGTGGTTGCCTGTAGTTAAAGGGAGGGAGGGAGGGAGTGGTTGCCTGTAGTCAGTGACAGGTAGGCAGTACCAGGGAGGGAGGGAGTGGTTGCCGGGAGTTAAAGGGAGGGAAAAAGGGAGGGAGGGAGTGGTTGCCGGGAGTTAAAGGGAGGGAGTGGTTGCCGGGAGTTAAAGGGAGGGAAAAAGGGAGGGAGGGAGTGGTTGCCGGGAGTTAAAGGGAGGTAGGGAGGGAGTGATGTGTACGCCACTAAGCACGGTGCTGGCTGGCTGGCTGCCAACACCTGCCAGATGTCTGATGACCCCCCCCTCCTAAACATGTCACTTTTGATACACTAGTCTCCTTCCCAGTGTCACTCAACCCTCTACAATTTTACAAATTAAGACCATTTAGCCCAAAAGTTGTTGAAGATTGTGGTTTGGACATGATACAAAGTTGAATAAATAAATAAAACAAATCAAAAATAAATCCCAGCTGGGCGGCAGAAACCTGTTACCCAGTGTTGCAACAAATGGGCATCAGTTTGATATATAAATGTTTACATGTTGACTTTATCCTGCATGGGAGGGAATAAGGCACAAGTAATTATTATTTTATCATTGAAAGAATACAAATAACAATATTCTCTAATTTAAACCTATTTAACCATGACAAACATGACTGGTGTGTGTGTCTTGGAAGATGCTAGCCAGAGCCTCTTAAGATAAGAGACTTAGTATTGGTTGAGCAGCACTTTAGTGTGATTATAAGCTCCTCCTCCTCCTTCTTATCTCTTCTTCTCTCATGATATTTAGAGTATATTTTGCTGCAGATATTGTGGCTGGAGCTGCATTTAACATAGTTCAGTTTTGTGTGTGTGTTAGCCCTTCCATGAGCCTCCTGTTCCTCCGTTTTCATGCCTCCTGCACGTACCTCTTATGCCGTTACTTCCTACTTCCTCCCCTCCCACTCCTTCCTTCCATTCTCTCCACACTCTTCCATTGTGCCTCTCCCCCCCCTCCTCTCTTCCATTGTGCCTCTCCCCCCCCCCCCCCCCTCCTCTCTTCCATTGTGCCTCTCCCCCCCCTCCTCTCTTCCATTGTGCCTCTCCCCCCCCCTCCTCTCCCATTGTGCCTCTCCCCCCCCCTCCTCTCCCATTGTGCCTCTCCCCCCCCCTCCTCTTCCATTGTGCCTCTCCCCCCCCCCCTCCTCTTCCATTGTGCCTCTCCTCCCCCCTCCTCCTCTTCCATTGTGCCTCTCCTCCCCTCCCCTCCTCCTCTTCCATTGTGCCTCTCCTCCCCTCCCCCTCTTCCATTGTGCCTCTCCTCCCCTCCTCCTCCTCTTCCATTGTGCCTCTTCTCCCCCCCCCCCTCCTCTTCCATTGTGCCTCTCCTCCCCCCCTCCTCCTCTTCCATTGTGCCTCCCCCCCTTCTCTCTTCCATTGTGCCTCTCCCCCCCCCCCCCTCCTCTCTTCCATTGTGCCTCTCCCCCCCCTCCTCTCCCATTGTGCCTCTCCCCCCCCCCCCTCCTCTCCCATTGTGCCTCTCCCTCCCCCCTCCTCTCTTCCATTGTGCCCTCTCCCCCCCCTCTCCCATTGTGCATCTCCCCCCCTCCTCTCCCATTGTGCATCTCCCCCCCCTCCTCTCCCATTGTGCCTCTCCCCCCCCCTCCTCTTCCATTGTGCCTCTCCCCCCCCTCCTCTTCCATTGTGCCTCCCCCCCCTCATCTTCCATTGTGCCTCTCCCCCCCCTCCTCTCCCATTGTGCCTCTCCCCCCCCTCCTCTTCCATTGTGCCTCTCCCCCCCCTCCTCTCCCATTGTGCCTCTCCCCCCCCTCCTCTTCCATTGTGCCTCTCCCCCCCCTCCTCTTCCATTGTGCCTCCCCCCCCTCATCTTCCATTGTGCCTCTCCCCCCCCTCCTCTTCCATTGTGCCTCTCCTCCCCCCTCCTCCTCTCCCATTCTGCCTCCCTCCCCCTCTCATCCTGCCTCTTACCCCCTCCTCCCCTCCCATTTTGCCTCTTACCCCCCCCCCCTTCTTCCCTCCCATTCTGCCTTCTTTCTGCTCTATAGAGGTCATAATATCCCAGCAGCAGTCTCTATTAGATGCCTTACACTGCTATATTATGGTGCAATGAAAGGGTTAACTCCAGGAGCCGGGGGGGGGGGGGTCAAACATTATCGTGACGGTTAATAATGTGGAGGTTCTCCAAAATTTCAACACATGACCTAATTCATGGTAATAATTCTAATAGCAATCTGTTGAAAATAATATTAATTGATTATTTAACAAAAAATATATAAAACAATATGGTTCAGTGGTTGAACATTTATGTTAAATTCCTCTTTAATAAAGCCTCTGGTATGAGAAACATCTTGGGATAACTTAGAAAAGTTATATTACTGACAAGTGATTTCATCACTAAACCTAATACTAAACAAGAGCCAATGGGCTCGGGAGTCTGTAAATGGGGTGATTGACGGTTGTGAGGCGGGACCAAAGAGCCGAGCCTCAACCCCCCGCAAACACGTCTAGGCGAGTGAGTACATGCATATACCTACATATGGAAGGTTGGCTAATGTAAGAAGTGCCTTTTAATGTGAACAAAGTCATTCAGGCTCTTGTACTGAGGCAGACTCCATGCACTGTAGATCTAACAAAGCCCAACAGGCTCTGGAACTTGTTTGCCAGTCGAAAGGCATTGAGAAGTGGGACCCAAGAGCTGCGACTCGTCCATTGTGAATGCAACTAGGCGAGTGTATACACAGAGGAAGCTAAAAAAATTCCTTTATTAAAAGGAATAGGTTGGAGCAATATAATTTAGATATATATATTTGCAAAAAATTTTGTTTTAACTAATGTATGTGTATAACTAGATATCAGTAAGTGTGTGTCAACATTTATATATAAAAAAGTCAACATTCTATAAATTTCACTTACATGCTTCTTTTGATAATTTGTAATATATCCTGTTCACTATACAGTATTTAAATAGCATAACTTGTGCTGGTTACTTGTTAATACATGTTGAGTAATTATCCTATCTGACGTGTTAATGATGCATTGATGGGAATACAAAGTGGGAGGCCCTTGGGTAATCAGTGTTGAGAAATCACGCCTCAGTCAGCCACTGTAACTGTGCTGCTCGTAGAGGGAGTTCAAGCGTGTTGGAAACATGTTCGAGTTCTTGCTTGGTTGGCATACTCCTAATATCTTTACTTTATGCATTTGCAACATTCTCATTATGTTTTATAAAAGTGTTTGATTAGATCTGAATTTTAATATCGAGTTTATTTGGGTTGATAGAGTTGTTATGGTGGTTTGTGCTTGTCTCAACATGTCTGGTGGGTGAGTGTGTGTCAACATCATGAGTGTGGTGCTTTCACCTTCCCCAGTACCAGGAATATTTGAGTGAGCTGTACCAGTAGCAGCAGGTCAGCCTTCGTGCCTACACCTCATATTGGCTGATCCTCGTTCAAAGTGCAGCGGTGGCTTCTAGTGTGTTGTAGCTCTGTAACGGACATTATTACTGGCTAGACACATGTACATATAATAGGTTCATCTGTAATATGCGTTGCTCTGATGAGTAATATTGGCAGACAATTGGCACGCTTCAAGTATTCATCAGATGCCATCGCTGTGGTACACTTGTAGTGTGGCGTGTACACATTGGGATCACAGCTGACACCAAACATCAGACCTTTAACTCTCAAGGTCATTAAATGCCCAGATAGGAATATACAGCTTGTGATAAGGTGTACTTGGCTTGACCAAGCTGGTGTATTATGGCCATGGCACAAGTTCTCAGTGAAGTTGTAGGAAGCAAAATGCCCCAAGTTGAAGGAAACAAAGTTATGAAAGAGGTTGAAGTAAGGAATATCCTGAAAGTTGAAGTATGGTTTATTTTACTATAAACTTTAGTGTTGCAAGTTTAATATTTTTTATGAATTACAAACATTAGGATAAATATAAATAAATCTACATATAACATACTGTAATATAAATATAACATTAAGATAATGTATAAATATTTATTATATGACCGTATCATTGATTAATCACTATTAATTTGTATACTATATGCAATTTTTTTTTTAAGAATTTTAATTTAATCTATATTCTGTGACGGGTTTGCACAGTAATATGTATTTCTGAAAGTCGGGGGGAGTGGGGGCGGGGAATAAGCAAACTAACTACAGTAACTCTTGGAAACAAAATAACTATACTTTTCACTAGACAAATTTTGTAATGTAATTTTCCATTCACAGGTCTTTTACCCGTCCTAGTAAATTATAACTTGGCAGTACACAGTCTTAAACCTGACCAAGTTATTGTCAATACTGCCATATTGTGTTTTTTTTTGTACAGAAATTTGTTTTTTACAGTTTTAGACTTTCCTGTTCTTTCATTGTAAACTTAACGGGGGTTTGGGAAAAATTTGAAAATTGTAACGGGGCGAGAAAATGAGATTTGTGTGTGGAAATGTATATACATGTGATGTTCCACCGGTGGTTTTATTGGTTTGCGTATGTTGTTTTAACTTGACTCTTATCGTCATTGCAGAATTTGTTTCACTTGGCCATGGACGACGACCCAGATGTGCGCAAGAACGTGTGTCGTGCCCTCGTCATGCTCCTGGACGCTCATATTTCCTCCCTCATTCCTCATATGCATAACATTATAGAATACATGATGATACGAACACAGGTATGTGGCCAAGATGTACACCCAGAGCAATTGGGTAGTTTATTTTGGTGAAAGTACAGTAAACTCTATACATTGAGTTACAAGCAGAATGTTGGATTTTTAGATAAGAGTTAGTATATGCCTAAAGCTACTAATATGCACAGCTTTTTGGGCAAGAAACTAGAAAGTTTCTAGAAAGTTAAAGAAGAAAGATTAAGGAATATTTCCAAATTAACTTGTGGAGCAAATCATGTGCAGTAATCTATTTGTAGAGGAAATTATGAAAAGCTCAACTTAATTTATTTACTTTAAATGTACTGTGATTTGTGATTGAGTTATAAATAGCTGGTTATGACAATTATATTTTTTCTCCTTATATCTTAAAATTTGTTGGGTATTTTCTGGAATTAGAGAAACGTGTACTCTCTCACACTGTAGCATTATCTCTTAGAATGTGACGCTAAAAGGCCAGTATTTTGTGTTGCAGGACCCTGATGAAAACGTGGCACTGGAAGCCTGCGAGTTTTGGCTCTCGTTAGCGGAACACCCAATTTGTAAAGAAGCTCTCAAGCCTCACCTACCCAAGTTAATACCCATTCTAGTGCGGGGCATGAAGTACTCTGAAATAGACATCATTCTCTTGAAGGTTAGTAGTGTAGGGTTAATGAAATTGTTAGATGTAAAGGAGTTGACCAGACCACACACTAGAAGGTGAAGGGACGACGACGTTTTGGTCCATCCTGGATCATTCTCAAGTCGACGAGAATGGTCCAGGACGGACCGAAATGTCGTCGTCCCTTCACCTTCTAGTGTGTGGTCTGGTCAACTTATTTTAGCCATGTTATTGTGACTCATCGCCTGTAGATGTAAAGGAGTATGGAATTCTCATTTATATCTTGAAATATTTTGTTTTGTTTAAAATAGCTTTCTTTAACCACTGCACTGCGCAAAGCGCCTTTAGGCGCTCTAAGAGTTGTGAGTTTTGTTTTTTAATTAGACTATATTTTTATGTTTTTTAATGTTTTCATTACTCTTTGTGTTCTGAAAGGGAAATAGTTGACTTTGGAAACATTTTGACATTAACTTTACCTGAGCATTTATGAAAACAACAAAAATATGTCCTTGACAATTGCACCAAGACGTTTTTGCCGAAAATGTGTGAGCAGTGCAGGGGTTAAATGAAAATCGAGGGTTTTGAAGTTTCTCAAAATTTGTCGTCTTCTCAGGGAGACGTGGAGGAAGATGAAAGCGTGCCAGATCGAAGTGAAGACATTAAACCCCGTTTTCACAAGTCCCGACACACTATCCGACATGAACCCATGGAAAATGGGGGTAGCGGAGAAGAATTCCCAGATGACGAGTCTGACGATGGATTAGATGATGATTCCTCTCTCTCAGACTGGAATTTAAGAAAGGTAAAAGAATACAGTACACTCATAGTTTAACAAATAGTCAAGAAGGTTAAACTATCTTGGGATATGACTCCTTAGCCTTACAAATTATGATGTATTATGCATGACAGTGTTCAGTAGAGGTGAAGAATGGAGCTTTATGGTAATTACTGTTACTATAGTGTTGTTTAATTTATAAATAAAAAAGCCGCTTGGGACTAAGTTGATGAGGCATAATTTTATTTTGCTTGTTTGGAAGCTGTATATTAAGTATTTTATATTATATGAAGGACCAAAAAATATGGAATTTTTTTTTAATGAACATCTTGAAATTTTGGAAATATGTTGAATAGAGTTTTAAGGTTAAAATCTAACGTTTTCTTCAAAAATGTATTTAATGGAATATAGTACAGCAATGTCAAGTAATTGTAAGGATTATTATAGCTTTATTTACCGCTTGCTTCCAGTCTTTTGTACCTTGTTTTAGTGATTAATACAGTAAGTGTTTCTGCTTGTTTAGACAATATTTAACACTTTCGCGCTCTCGGCGCTCAAAAAAAAACAATACCCCAGATGCTTTCGGCACTTCGCGCGCCTACGCGGTAAGACCGAAAAGTGTACACTCTTTTGACTGTCCTGACAATAATTGAAGGCGCACATATTTAAATTTGGTATCACTGTGTTCGCAATGAAATTGTCTATAAGAGCATACCTATAAAATGCCGCCCAAGCATAAGGAGTATCAACACCAAATAAAAAACTATGCAGATCACTCGCCGAGAGCGCGAAACAGCAACAAAATGTTTCCACTCTCTTAATGGTTGCGAAGCCTACACTTGCCCTACATCGCTAATTTTGATATCATTGGAATCGCAATAAAATTCTCTACTCGGACATATGCATATGAATGTTTAATATAGGTAATTGCCCACCCGCAAGAGTGTGTGAAGTGGAGAGTAGTTAGCCGCGAGCGCACTGGCGAAAACACAGGGGGGAAATCATGCTTGGAAAGTTTATACGTTTCCTGACCCCTACTTTTCTATGTACGTATTTCTTTTTTATACCAATGTGTTCGCAATAAAATTTTCTATAAGATGAACTGTATAACATTTGTACAAAGCGTGTGTAAGAGAAGCGCCAAATATAGAACCACGTCGCTCAGTATGCGTTCGCGGCAGAAACGAACGCATTGTTTTCGTTCGTTTGATGTTTGTCATGTTTATACTTGTTGAAACATTTTATAATTTGTATGACAGTGATCGCAGTAAAATTCCCTACAGACATATACATAACACATACAAATATTTCCCACGTGTTGGATATATCAACGGCTAAAGGGAACCCACTGCCACACGCTCGCCACACCCCCAAACATACTTTGTGTATTTTTTTTTTTTACTCATAGAGGTTTATGTGATATAATATTCATTCTGGTACCAAAACATTCGCAAATAAATTCCCTACAAAACAAAAGTATCCCCATCCATTTTGGTTAAAAAATGGAATTTATAGAAATATTTTTTCGATGGACGAGAAAAGTCGGCTGTTATGCGGAATCGTAAGAGAAAACGGCGACGAGTTATATCTAATCTAAAGCGCGAAAGTGTTAAGAAAGAGTTTTTGTGCATATAAAAAAAATCAACATAAATAAATCAGTATTACTCACATTACTCTGCAAATAATGTGTGTGCATGCTTTGTGCACTGTATGAGTAATGTGTGCACGCTGTGTGCACTGTGTGAGTAATGTGTGTATCCTGTGAGTAACATGTTCATACGGTGTGCACACTGAGTAATGTGTGCATGCTGTGTGCACTGTGCGAGCAACGCGTGCCCGCCGTGCGAGCAACGCGTGCCCGCCGTGCGAGCAACGCGTGCCCGCCGTGCGCACAATGTGAGTAACGTGTGCATGCTGTGTGCGCTGTGCAGCCATCTGTATGCAATTAATAGCTTGGCACAAGGTAGAGGGTCACCTGACACGACCTGACCTTGCCGGACATGTTAACACCAACAACAATAATGAAGGTGTGACGTCTTTATGTCAAAGACCGACAACCTGGTGCCGTCAGCATCCTGCGTGAACTGACGCTACCGGTTTCAGTGAAATATTAAATATAACATTTATAGTGTTACAGTAGTCTGACGTTAGTCATGCCTGAGAGTTTTGTATAATTTAAATTGATTTTATCTTTTTGTTCCATTAGTGTTCCGCCGCTGCCCTAGACGTGCTGGCCAATGTGTTCCGGGAAGAGATGCTACCAGTCATCCTGCCTATTCTAAAGGAGACGCTCTTTCACCAGGAGTGGGAAATTCGTGAATCAGGTAGGTTAGAAAATGTTGGTTGACTGGAAGACAAAGTTAATACAGCGATGTAGAATAAGACCAAAGCAAAGAGGAGTCTTTGGAAAAGATGGCATATTTTGCTTTTCAAACTTTGAAGTAATCCAGGCATGCAGAGGGCTACTACTATTAGTTCCTCATAAAAAGAGATGAGGTGAGAATAGGCATGTGAGGGATTAGTCACTTTATAATTTGGAAAATAAGTATCAATAACACATTTGAAAATAAAACACAACCAACAAACCTGAACAAAATGGAATTAATGCCATTTTTGTCCCCCTGGACCATTATTATTCAACTTTATAATGGCCCGGGAGGAACCAAAATGTTAACTCCTTTATTGTCAAGTTTGTGTTAATTTTAAGTTAAAATTGTCTGCTGCCAATTTAGCAAGTACTGACGTAATGCAGTTCTGTTATGGTTTGCTTTTTGAGCTATCAATCTTAGTGACTCCTTAGGCAAGATCTTATTGGTTTATGGTTAGAATTTAGCAGTTGGGGGGTGCGTGTCAGTCTGTTCTAAAGCAGCAGGGAGCAGTACTCTTCAAATTGTGACTGCTGAATACCGGTGCTCTAGGGAGGTTGTAGGCTATTTAATCCTGCCTAAAATGCAACCAGTAAAAAAAAGAAATTGAGGTTCCAGTACTCTAACTGCTGGATGGCCCTTCAAGTCACTGGACTGATCACCAGATGTCAGAACTGACAACACAATACTATTCCCTGATCCAACTCATTCATTTTTGACTGATCAACTGGCAAGCTGTACAAGTAAGAGTACACCACAAAGTGGCATAGTTTCTTTTTTGTCTTGGGGACTTTGTGCGATTTGTATCCTATCCTAATGATAGGATGCATTAAGGTAACCTTCAATTGTAGGGATCCCATCACAATGATTATACTATTCAAATCACTTGTGCTGTCTCGGCTTGAATAGTGCGTGATACTCACTTCCCCCTTCAGAGCAGGAGGGAGTGCTGAAATGGAGGGAATACAGAGAACATATACAGCACACAGACGCAATAGAGAACCTAAACTATTGGGATCATCTCAAAGCTTTGCAAACATACTCCTTAGAAAGGTGACGAGAGAGATAAAATAATATACAGTACACGTAGAAAATGCTGGAGGGTCAGGTCCCAAATCTACACAGTAAAATAACAACATACTGGAGTGAATGATATGGAAGAAAATGCAAAATAGAACCAGTGAAGAGCAGCGGTGCCATAGGCACAATCAGAGAACACTGTATAAACATCAAAGGTCCGCGGTTATATATCTTGAGTTATCTTGAGTTGATTTCGGGGCTTTTAGTGTCCTCGCGGCCCGGTCCTCAACCAGGACTCCACCCCCAGGACGCAGCCTGTGACAACTGACTAACTCCCAGGTACCTGTTTACTGCTAGGTAACAGGGGCATAGGGTGAAAGAAACTCTGCCCATCGTTTCTTGCCGGCGCCCGGGACCACAGGATCACATGTCCAGCATGCTGTCCGCTCGGCCGACCGGCCCCTTGTTGTTCAACATCCTCCCGGCGAGCATAAGAAATATTGCCGGGACAACCGTGGACACCTTCAAGAGAACACTGGATAGACTTCAAAAAGTGCTGGACCAACCAGGCTGTGGTGGATATGTGGCTCTGCAGGCCACTACAAGCAACAGCCTGTTGGACCAAGCTCTGACAAGTCGAGCCTATCCCTGGGACGGGCTTAGGGAGTAGAAAAACTTAGAATTCCATCCAGGTACAATCCAGGCTTATACTATACAGTATGGTTATGTTTCTGATAACTTGTAAGACACTCAGATTACTGCCATCCATTAAGAGTTTCATTGGAGATGATGCATCCCTGTAAATTTATGCAAAACTATAATTGCAAAGTAATAGATTTCCTTATAATATTCAATTGTATAATGTTGGAATGTATTCCTCAGCAATGTTTTATTTTGTTTCTAATGCTCAAGATCCATTAAATTATGGTAGGGTAATGCTCAATACCGTACATATGTACTTGCCAGGAGGCCTGGTCAGAGACTGGGCCACAGGGACATTGATCTCTGAATCAATAACTAACAGATACACAACACGTTGGTAGAGCAGAAATAGCAGCGGAGTATGTGTATTAAAGCTAAGTGTAGAGTAAGTGCTCTAAGGCAGGACTGTCTACCTTTGTGTTTACATTACAAAGTAAACAAACTTCCAGGATACATGAGGATTGGTTTATAGATTACGAACACATTTTTGAGGTTTATGGGAGTGGTAGAAGGCAAACTGGAGCTATACACTTTACAATCTTTGATAAAATAAGTTTAGGTAGGCAGGTAGTGGGTTTGAAGTTTGTATTAATATTATTAATTATTTCTATGGTTTTATATCACAATTGAAGCAGACTTGAAGTAAATCTAGAGATTTAAAACTTAGTGATATTTGATAAAATATATATATAAATTTTTTTCAGGAATCCTTGCTCTAGGAGCAATTGCAGAAGGTTGCATGAATGGTATGACCCAGCACCTTCCTGAGCTCATCCCTTACCTAATAAACTGTCTACAAGATAAGAAGGCTCTGGTTCGCTCCATCACCTGCTGGACACTCTCCCGCTACTGTCACTGGGCAGTTGTCCTTCCCGACCACACCTACCTCAAACCTCTAATGTACGAGGTTAGTATCTGCCGTTGCTGGAGTTTTACTGGAATTGTGATTGATATTAATATTTGGATGTTCCTGTAAAGGGGTAAAGTGTGTGTTAGTTTTCATACAATTATTATAAAATGTCCCCAGAAGGAATGTTTTATAATTCTTGGCGAATTATTATTATTTTGTTTTTCAAATCTGTTTGGTGTTTGTGCAATCTGAAGTGTACGTTGAGAATACTTTTGTGTGTTGGCTTGAGAGTTTAGTGTTTAAGAAAGGTGGTGCAAAGGTTCCTATTGTCATTGGTGGATATATCCTTTTTACTGCATTGTTTTAAACATTTTTAAAATGCTCCTCGGTGCATTGGCCCGTGTATCTGTGTGTAATTACCTAAGTGTAATTACCTAAGTGTAGTTACAGGATGAGAGCTACGCTCGTGGTGTCCCGTCTTCCCAGCACTCTTTGTCATATAACGCTTTGAAACTACTGACGGTCTTGGCCTCCACCACCTTCTCACTTAACTTGTTCCAACCGTCTACCACTCTATTTGCGAAGGTGAATTTTCTTATATTTCTTCGGCATCTGTGTTTAGCTAGTTTAAATCTATGACCTCTTGTTCTTGAAATTCCAGGTCTCAGGAAGTCTTCCCTGTCGATTTTATCAATTCCTGTAACTATTTTGTATGTAGTGATCATATCACCTCTTTTTCTTCTGTCTTCTAGTTTTGGCATATTTAATGCTTCTAACCTCTCCTCGTAGCTCTTGCCCTTCAGTTCTGGGAGCCACTTAGTAGCATGTCTTTGCACCTTTTCCAGTTTGTTGATGTGCTTCTTAAGATATGGGCACCACACAACAGCTGCATATTCTAGCTTTGGCCTAACAAAAGTCATGAACAATTTCTTTAGTATATCGCCATCCATGTATTTAAATGCAATTCTGAAGTTAGAAAGCATAGCATAGGCTCCTTGCACAATATTCTTTATGTGGTCCTCAGGTGATAGTTTTCTATCTAGAACCACTCCTAGATCTCTTTCTTTATCAGAATTCTTTAAAGATTTCTCACATAATATATAGGTTGTGTGGGGTCTATGTTCTCCTATTCCACATTCCATAACATGACATTTATTAACATTAAATTCCATTTGCCAAGTGGTGCTCCATATACTTATTTTGTCCAGGTCTTCTTGAAGGGCATGACAGTCATCTAAATTTCTTATCCTTCCTATTATCTTAGCATCATCAGCAAACATGTTCATATAATTCTGTATACCAACTGGTAGATCATTTATGTACACAATAAACATCACTGGTGCAAGAACTGAACCCTGTGGTACTCCACTTGTGACATTTCTCCATTCTGATACATTGCCTCTGATTACTGCCCTCATTTTTCTATCAGTCAGAAAATTTTTCATCCATGATAGAAGCTTACCTGTCACCCCTCCAATATTTTCCAGTTTCCAGAACAACCTCTTATGTGGAACTCTGTCGAAAGCCTTTTTTAGGTCCAGATAGATGCAGTCAACCCAACCATCTCTTTCCTGTAATATCTCTGTGGCTCGATCATAGAAACTGAGTAAATTCGATACACAGGATCTTCCAGATCGAAAACCATACTGTCTGTCTGATATTATATCATTTCTCTCTAGGTGTTCTACCCATTTAGTTTTGATTAGTTTTTCCAATACTTTCACTATTACACTTGTCAATGATACAGGTCTATAATTGAGGGGGTCTTCCCTGCTGCCACTTTTGTAGATTGGAACTATGTTAGCCTGTTTCCACCCGTCTGCTACGATTCCTGTACACAGGGATGCCTGAAAGATCAGGTGAAGTGGAATGCTGAGCTCAGATGCACATTCTCTCAGAACCCATGGTGAAACGCCATCTGGGCCAGCTGCTTTGTTCTTACCGAGCTCCTTGAGCATTTTTTCCACTTCGTCTCTAGACACCTCTATGTGTTCTATGTTGTTCTCTGGAATTCTTATTGTATCTGGTTCCCTAAAGATTTCATTTTGTACAAACACACTTTGGAACTTTTCGTTTAGTGTTTCACACATTTCCTTTTCATCTTCCGTGAATCTATTTCCCATTTTCAACCTCTGAATATTATCCTTTACCTGCAATTTGTTGTTTATGAATTTATAGAATAGACCTGGTTCTGTTTTACATTTGTCCGCAATCCCTTTTTCAAAATTTCTTTCTGCCTCTCTCCTCACTGCCGTGTAGTTGTTTCTCGCATCTTTGTATCGCTGGTATGTTTGGGGGTTCGGCCTCTTCCTGTATTGATTCCATTTTTGTGTCTTTCGGTCTCTAGCCCTCTCGCAATTTCTATTGAACCAATCCTGTTTCCTAGTTCTGCATCTCTGTTTTGGTATAAATTTTTTTGTGCCTTTATCATATATTTCACAAAACTTGCCATACATCTCATTCACTTCCTTGCCTAGCATCAAGTCTGTCCAATTATACTCACTAAAAAAATTTCTAAGGTCACCATAATGTCCTCTCCTGAAGTCTGGTTTTTCAACTGCTTCAACCTCCTTATTTTCTTCCAGCTTATAACGCATTGCATACTTTATTCCCAAAAAGACATGGTCACTTTTACCCAAGGGAGGAAGGTACTGAATGTCAAATATCTCTTCCTCCTTCCTGGTAAATATCAAATCTAGCATGGAGGGAACGTCCCCTTCCCTCATCCTCGTAGCTTGTTTAACATGTTGATACAAGAATGTTTCCAGGATGAGGTCTACAAATTTACAGGTCCAAAAATCTTCTGTTTTAGCTTCATATGCTTCCCAGTCTATGGATTTCAAGTTGAAGTCACCGACTATCAACAGTCGTGATCTATCGTTATCCGCTCTCGCTATAATCTCTCTCATTATTGTTATAAGACCTTCACGTTTACTATCTAGCTCCTCCTTTGACCATGTGCTGCTTGGCGGTGGACTATATGCATTTATCATCATTAGTTTATCATCCTCATAGCAGATCTCTAGTGCTATTATGTCAACTTCTTGTGGATTGGCAGTCATTATTTCCTTCACCTTTAGGTGTTCTTTTACCAGCACAGCAACGCCACCGCCTTTCCTAATTTTTCTGTCCCGTCTCCAAATTGAGTAGCCCCTTGGGAATATGACCTCATTTAAAATTACATCTTCAAGTTTTGTCTCCGTGAGTGCAACAATGTCTGGTGTCTGCAGCTGTATTACATCACTTAACTCCAGTATCTTCGATCTCACTCCATCTATGTTGGTGTATGCAATCTTCAGGAACTTGTTCCCCCTCTCCTTATTCTTCACTCCCCCTCTCTCTATTGATTTTGTTGGTTTGCCTTTATGTACCACTTTACTGGTTTGCCTACCCCTATCACTTTGTAGAAAAAAGAATTTATTTCTTCTTCATTCCTGCTCTCATTTAAATGTTTTGCCTCGGCGAGGTTCAGTTTCAGCTTCTCTCTATCTTCTTTTGAAAGATCTCGTCTTAACGACCACCCTTTCCCATCCTCATCCCTTTGCAATTTTCTAGCATTCCTTAGTACTTCTTCCATCTGTTTGGCACCGTTTAGGGTGATCCTCAAAGGTCGATCTTTCCCTTTTACGTACCTGCCTATTCTCCTGTAGTCGCACACATTCTCTCTGTTTGTAAGACCTTCCACGAGGCCAACAATTTTATCTACTACTTTAGCTTCTTCTACAGCTCTTTCTGACCTAGATGTTATCGCCTTTTCTTTGCAGCCAAAAATGATCAGGGACTTACTCCGATCAACTGTGTTTTGCACCAACTTCGGGTTAGATGCCAATTCTTTCCTCACTTCTAGCCTAATGTTTGTTTTATCTTGGTTGCTGCAGTGTTTGACTTCCTTTACTGCTTCTTCTATTTTTTCCTTCTCCTTGGCCACTTGTGCATAAGTGAGTTGCATATCTTTCTTGCACTGTTCTATTCCCTGTGTAACTTCCTCCATCTGTGCTGACAAAAGCTGTTTCTCCTGTTGAATTTCCTTGCCTAACCTATTGTAGTCATTTATGTTTAAATTTACTTTAACTTCTTCCAAAGCTATTTTTAAGAGTTTATTTTCTTCTTCCATGGCTTTGCAATTTGTTTCCAATTGATTCTTATCCTTGCGCAAGTCTTTCACTAAACCCTCAAGACATAAAACTTTGCTATTCAAATGGTCATTACTTTCTTTCAATTTACTAATTATTTCTACATGAGAGTTCACTATAGTATCTAAATTTACCAACTTGTTATGTAGACTACTAATATCAATGCTTTCTTCATTGAATCCCTCAAAATCAAGCTCTGTTTTGTTTTTCCCCTTGCCAGTGGCCATCTTGAATGTTCTTCTCTGCACTGTAAACACTAGGGCAACTTTTTCTCATCCGATTTTTCACTTCCCTTAGCACTTTCCTGTTATCTCACCTATTTTTCAAGAGCACTATACCTTTATGTTCTCTGGGACACCACTCACTACCATCAACCTGTACTACAATACTTAGGATTGTTGAAATATGCTGGAGCTCCTCTGCTGCAAGTGTTGACCCTAGGGGTGTCACCTTTTCTTTTCTCCGTGTGTGTGTGTGTGTGTGTGTGTGCACAGAATTGGTTCCTTACCTTGCTGATATCCTCAAAACTTTAGTCTTTGCTTTTAAGAAATATCAGGTAAGAAATTAGTATAGAGTTAAAAATGCTGCGAGCAAGGGACGTGGAGGTAATAAAGATGACTTGAGTAAAACTTGAGACTTGGGACCAGCCAGATAGATAGATGTATTATCCAAAAGATGATTTTATTTATTTATTTATTTATTTATTTATTTTTATATACCAGAGTTGTTACATTCTTGTACAGCCACTGTTACGCATAGCATTTAGGGCTGTGGCATGTGATAGATGAATGTGGAGAAGTGTTAAGTCTGAGTAAAGAAATCAAAGTATTCACCAAGTTATGCTTGCAGGGGTTGAGCTTTGGCTCTTTGGTCCTGCTTCTCAGTTGTGTGAAGGACTCAAATTTGTACACTATTATTTAAGTACATAGCTAGCTCTGAACTTGTGTGGGGTTTGGTCAGGTCAAAATTTGTACGACACTATTCTTTTAACGCCAAAATTTTGAAAGTGTTTGCTTGTCTTGGGTGATATGAGGTGATGTTTTCACCCATAGGCGAGTGTGCTTTACACAGTATTTGTGTATGTGCGCGTGTGTAATTTTTCTATTTGCTAATTGCAATGGGTTTCGAGTTGTCTTGAGATCACTTGCACTGGTAGCTGTGAAGAACGTACAGTAGAGTAGTGAGGTTATATAGGCTTAGCTTCTGTCAATATATGGTCTGACGCTCATGAATTCCTGATAAAATACTGGTATATAATGTTCTTAATAATGAATTAGCCATAAAGAGTAACCAGTTTGAACCCTTTTTTACTGTACTGTAATACAATTTTGTGTAAATCTAGCTGTATTATTATGTATTGCCTGGTACTGGTAATTGTAGAAAATTATACCTGTGTAGAAATATATATATTTTGTTACATATCAATTTGTTTTTCAGGCCAAAAATCTTCTCATACTGTATGATGCCATTGGCACTCTAGCAGACTCCGTTGGCAACTACTTGAATAAAGAAGAGTATATTCAGATGTTGATGCCCCCTTTGATTGAGAAATGGAATGTGCTCAAAGATGAAGATAAGGATCTATTTCCTCTCTTAGAGGTAATGTTATTTTAGCAAGATATTTTTGTTCTATACCCATGTATTGGGAGCCGGTGGCTGAGCGGACAGAACACTGGATGCGTGATCTTGTGGTCTCAGGTTCGATCCCGGGTGCCGGCGAGAAACAATGGGCAGAGTTTCTTTCACCCTGATGCTTTTGTTACCTAGCAGTAAATAGGTACCTGGGAGTTAGTCAGCTGTCACGGGCTGCTTCCTGGAGGTGCAGGGCTGGTCGGGGACCGGGCCGCTGGGACACTAAGCCCCGAAATTATCTCAAGATAACCTCAAGATAAGATGTACCTTGGTGTTGACCTGTGTCTGAAGTCCTTCTGAATTGCAGAGTACTTTAGCGGCAACTTTCACATTGCCGATTTTTGTCAGGGTGTAAATATTCAAAACTATTTTTATAATTGTAGTCCTTTTTGTAACAACTTTTTTTTTCATTTAAATCAATATTTTTTTGACCTTGTAATGGTCCCTGAGCCAGGAGCCAATTTGACCAGCAGGCCCGAGTGAGTTTGGTAGGCTCACGTGACCTCGCGTACCTTGTGCTGGTTCTATGGGCTCTATGACCCCAGTGCCTGGTCTGACCATGCCTCATGGTGGGAGGGACAAATTTTGATATATAGACAGTCATTAGTCTCCTTACCTAATTGATTGGGTGATGAATTGAGTTAGATAATTAGTCTTAATTCAGGTCATCACCAGAGACCAGCAGCAGAGGTCGTTACCTGGTTGATGGGGTATTGGGTTCTGGGAGTTCTTATACTCCCCAAGCCTGGCCCAAGGCCAGGCTTCGCTTGTGAGAGTTTGGTCCACCAGGAGGTCTCTCGACCTGCTCTTATAACCTCTCGATTCTGGTACTAATCTTGAGCATTTTTGCCAGTCTATACTTTCATGTCCCGTGGTGTCTATGAATGGTTTTTCATGGCTTCTTAGCTGTGTTGTCATTTGCGGTTATGTGGTTTTCGGGTGCTTTTAGGTAGTTTACTCTGGCATTTCGTGATGTGTGCCCCGAGCTGATAGGTTCTGTGACCTGGTTCTCTGGACTTTGTGCACTTGTTTGCTGGCTCTCTCAGAAATACGTTTATTGTTGGGGCTTCCATAACCCCTTCTTGAGATCTTGAGGTTATCTTGAGATGATTTCGGGGCTTAGCGTCCCCGTGGCCCAGTCCTTGACCAGGTTTCCTTTTTTGTTGCACATCTTCCAGGAAGCAGCCCGTAGCAGCTGTTTAACTACCAGGTACCTATTTACTACTAGGTGAACAGGAGAATCAGGGTGAAAGAAACGGAATATTTGTTTCCACGTCCACCGAGGATCGAACCCGGAACCTCGGGTCTACGAATCCGAAGCGCTGTCCACTCGGCCGTCAGGCCCCCCACAGTTAGTAGGTAGCCCAGAAGAGGACCTGCCAGTCTTTGGAAAAAATTGATCTAGCTGAATATTCAGATATTGATTTTAAATGGTGGTACATTATCAGGAAATAGATTTGTAAATAAGCATGGGAGGCAGTGGTAAGTGTTGTGTTGAGAGGGATCGGAGGAGGTCGCAAATGATCCTCCTTCATTTGTTTTAGTGAATTTTGCATTGAAATCTTTCAGTATTATATATTTTGTTAAGCCTAATGTTGGGGTACTTTGCAGAACTTTGTTGCAGTTTAAGGCTTACAGGATGCAGTGAAATAAGTTGTATAGAATTTCACTTTTTTACTGGAAAACATGTATTGTTTTTGTAGTAATTAGTAGTTCAAAATATATTGTTTGATAGCGCTGCTAATAGACATATACATGTGGTGCATTATAGCTATTAATAGTTAAATACTTATTTGCTAAAATTCCAGTGCTTGTCGAGTGTTGCAACAGCTCTCCAGTCAGGATTCTTGCCATATTGTGGTCCTGTTTACCAGCGATGTGTGTCCCTGGTGGAGCAGACCTTGAACCAGACTGTGGTAAGCTCAGTTTATTTTTGTTAGTGTAATGTGCCATCTGGGGCATTTTTTTTTATTTCTTAGTTGCCTACTAAGTTTTCTAATGTTAAGAGGCTTTGAAGTTTTCCTTTATTTTTAGTCTTTTGTTCATCTATATTATAACTAGTGAAAGCCTTTGGGTATTAATTTGGTAGAGCTTTCCTATTAGTGACTAGTGGAATGTGATTAAATATTTATGGGCTGTCTTTCTAACCTTTTATATTTTTCGTACTCCTGAAACATTCTAGTTTGTCATATTTTACCGTTATTTTGAGTGTGACATAAGGCATTTCTAAAATTTGATGGTAAATAGCCAGGAAAGAACATTGTTTCAGAAATTGATTATAATGTAATTTGGATTTTGGAAGGCACAAAACTTGCAAAATTTTTGTGGAAGATGTAGGAGGAATGTAATGGTCATCTCCATATGTTACATTAAGACAAAAATGGTGTCTTTGTGGCTGGCTTAGGTTCAATTTTTTTGGGGGGGGGGGGGGCCTTGAGACTTGGTTTTTAAATCTGCCAGAAGTGAAGTACATTTATTTTATTTATATATACAAGAGTTGTTACATTCTTGTACAGCCACTAGTAAGCGTAGCGTTTTGGGCAAGTCCTTAATCCTATGTTCCTCGGAATACGACCCCCGCGAAGAGTCGTTTTAACAACCAGGTACCCATTTCCTGTTGGGTTAAACAGAGGCTACAGTTAAGGATTTGCACCCAGTAAATCTTTCCCGGCCAGGATACGAACCCAGGACAAAACGCTCGTAAGACGCCAGGCGAGTGTCTTACCACTACGCCACGGAGACTGTTAAACTGTACGGAGACTACATAATTTACAAGTCCCGTGTGGCCGTGTGGGTATTATCACTAGAGGAATGTGATTTTTCTAGCGAGTCCCTTATATACAATGAATAATCTTTATAATAGCTAGCATCTCAAATAATAATCTCTTTAATAGACTAATTGATCAGTGTTTCTTCACCCTCCAGATGGTAGAAAGTTTCCGTTCTACGCAAATACCATCTATTGGAAAATAATGGAAGGTTGTTGCATCGATGGTGCACACATCGGCCAGGGTTGTTCTGGCATTTAGCTTAAGATTTAAAACTCCTACGGGGGAAGGGGGGGGGGGGGGGGGGGGGGGGGGGGGGTGTACAGAGAACATCCTGTTCTTCAGGGTTCCAGTAAACAGACTCAATCTGGAAAAAAAAAATCATGTCACTCCTGGCAGTGAGAGCGTTGGTACCGAGAGAGCGACCAAGGGTGGTGCATACAGCAGCACACAGCTCTACTATACAGCCAGGGGGGGGGGGCGATAGCACCGCTGTGCAGCCCGGGGTGGGGGGGCGACGGCACCGCTGTGCAGCCCGGGGGGGGGGGCGACGGCACCGCTGTGCAGCCTGGGGGTGAGGGGGGGCGAGAGCACCGCTGTGCAGCCCGGGGGGGGGGGGAGGTGACAGCACCACTGTGCAGCCAGGGGGGGGGGGCGACAGCACCGCTGTGCAGCCCCGGGGGGGGGGGGGAGGTGACAGCACCACTGTGCAGCCAGGGGGGGGGGGGCGACAGCACCGCTGTGCAGCCCGGGGGGGGGGTGACAGCACCGCTTAACCACTGCACTGTGCACTTGTTTTTGGCAAAAACTTCATAGTGCAATTGCTAAGGATATATTTTTGTTTTTATTAATGTTCACATAAAGTTAATGTTAAAATGTTTCCAAACTCCTCCATATTTATTTCAAATCACAGTGTGATGAAAACAAAATTAAAATATAGCCTAATTAAAAAAAAAATAGCACAATTCTCAAATGCAACACATAAGCATTTGATTTGTTTAACACGTCTTCTGGAGAGTTCGTCTTGCAGCCTGGCTTTGGGGTCAAGCACCCCTGGTAATTGTGTGGTGATTGAGGCTGTCTTCATAGCCCGATAGGCCACATTACCATTAGTAAACCACAAAAATCACACTAACGTGATATATATCGATGAGAAAATCCACCAGGGCTGTGAGGTAATGCAAACTTACGACACCGGCATTGCCAGTCGCGCACTCTACCACTGGACCACCACTGATTTGTGAAAGTCGTACAAGCAGATTTCTATGGGGTTGTAGGTTCGCGCTCACCCTCACAGCCCTAGATAAAAACATGAATGGTTGAATAACCTTAGCAGCAGTATCATATATTGTAGAGGCTAATGTTGAGAATTTGTTTTGGTAGGCATTTTATTTCCATCTTTTTCAGGCTCATTCTGCAAACCCGGGGCAGTTTGAAGCGGCAGACAAGGATTTCATGATCGTGTCGCTAGACCTCTTGTCTGGGTTAGCGGAGGGACTGAATGGCCACGTGGGCCAACTGGTCCAACAGTCTAATATTATGTCGCTGCTGTACCAGGCTATGCAGGTAAAACAGTGTGTGTGTGTGTGTGTGTGTAGTGTGCATGGGTATCTTCTGTCACCAAGACAGTTCGAGCTTAGGCTATTGTGGGTCTAATAGGTGTGACTTAGCTAGTTTGTATTACAGTACGATGATATACATTTTGTTTTGCTTTAATAGTTATGGCCTTATTTTCTTGTAGGTTTATTTTGGCTAGTTAACTACTAATACCTACTGTGATTGTAATTAGATATGAAACCTTCCCTAAATTTTGATGTACAGTGTAAAGTTACGGTTTTATTTAATATTAGATTAATAAATCCCAAATCCTTTAAATCTAACCCCATGACAATTTCTAACAGGACCCCATGCCAGAAGTTAGACAAAGCTCCTTTGCACTACTGGGTGACCTGACCAAAGCATGTTTCCAGTATGTGGCTCCTTGTATATGTAAGTAGATTAAAGTGTTTTGGTTTTGTTCTCCATTTTTACGCAATATTTTGTGAATTTCGTTATAGCGTTGATGTAGCTAAAAGCAGCAAACACGAATAACTGTTATATGAAGTATTGCTTGTTTACCTTTTTTTTTAGTTTAGTGCTTGACTTTATGATGTAGTTAGGCTTTCTTGATAGGCCTGTATTTGTAGTGTTGTCTGAGCTCTCCCATTCGGAAGTTCATTTATGACAACATTAGTGAGGCTCTCGCTGGATAGGATTACCAGCCCCCGGTGCAACAGGGATGCATGTGTAAAGTATTAGATATGTTGAAACACCCTTCCCAGCTCATAGAGTCATTGGATCGGATCAAGACCCCCCCCCCCCCAGTGCAGCCGAGATGTATATGAAGTACTGTATTAAAATAAACCTAAACTTTAAATATTTTCTCCACCCCTTTTATTATGTACTTGCTGGTATTTACATGGTTAGCACCTACCTACCCTTTTAAAGACTTGTAAAGAATGTAATGATCTCTGAAGCAGTCAACATTGCACAAAGCTACACTGAAAGCATGTTTGTTGCATGCAATTGCCTGGGAGGTCGGGCAAAGGCAAGCTCAGGTCGGGCAAGGGCAAGCTCAGGTCGGGCAAGGGCAAGCTCAGGTCGGGCAAGGGCAAGCTCAGGTCGGGCAAGGGCAAGCTCAAGCTCAGGTTGAGCAAGGGCAAGCTCAGGTTGGGCAAGGGCAAGCTCAGGTTGGGCAAGGGCAAGCTCAGGTCGGGCAAGGGCAAGCTCAGGTTGGGCAAGGGCAAGCTCAGGTCGGGCAAGGGCAAGCTCAGGTCGGGCAAGGGCAAGCTCAGGTTGGGCAAGGGCAAGCTCAGGTTGGGCAAGGGCAAGCTCAGGTCGGGCAAGGGCAAGCTCAGGTTGGGCAAGGGCAAGCTCAGGCTGGGCAAGGGCAAGCTCAGGCTGGGCAAGGGCAAGCTCAGGCTGGGCAAGGGCAAGCTCAGGCCGGGCAAGGGCAAGCTCAGGCCGGGCAAGGGCAAGCTCAGGTCGGGCAAGGGCAAGCTCAGGCTGGGCAAGGGCAAGCTCAGGCTGGGCAAGGGCAAGCTCAGGCTGGGCAAGGGCAAGCTCAGGTCGGGCAAGGGCAAGCTCAGGTTGGGCAAGGGCAAGCTCAGGTTGGGCAAGGGCAAGCTCAGGCTGGGCAAGGGCAAGCTCAGGCTGGGCAAGGGCAAGCTCAGGCTGGGCAAGGGCAAGCTCAGGTCGGGCAAGGGCAAGCTCAGGTCGGGCAAGGGCAAGCTCAGGTCGGGCAAGGGCAAGCTCAGGTCGGGCAAGGGCAAGCTCAGGCTGGGCAAGGGCAAGCTCAGGTCGGGCAAGGGCAAGCTCAGGTTGCAAGCTCAGGTCGGGCAAGGGCAACCTCAGGTCGGGCAAGGGCAAGCTCAGGCTGGGCAAGGGCAAGCTCAGGTCGGGCAAGGGCAAGCTCAGGCTGGGCAAGGGCAAGCTCAGGTCGGGCAAGGGCAAGCTCAGGTCGGGCAAGGGCAAGCTCAGGTCGGGGAAGGGCGAGCTCAGGTCGGGCAAGGGCAAGCTCAGGCTGGGCAAGGGCAAGCTCAGGTCGGGGAAGGGCGAGCTCAGGTCGGGCAAGGGCAAGCTCAGGTCGGGCAAGGGCAAGCTCAGGTCGGGGAAGGGCGAGCTCAGGTTGGGCAAGGCTGGGTAAAGGGCCCTAATGTTTTGTCTCGCCCCTTGTAGCTCTGAGTGCACGTCTTGGGTGTAACTTCAGACGTTTACTTTCTACAAGTGTCATGTACAGATGTGATTTATCTTGGAAGACAAAGCATGAATTATGTTTCAAATACAATAAGAGGAAAAGAATGACATAAACTTGGTCCTTCAAAATTGATGCTCTAATGAAGGCATAGGTTATGTAACCACACACACTTACTTTTTGCATTGTTATTGTTAGTATATCTTGTCTTGAGGTTATCTTGAGATGATTTCGGGGCATAGCGTCCCCGCGGCCCGGTCCTCGACTAGGCCTCCTTTTTGTTACACACACCCCAGGAAGCAGCAGCCCGTAGCAGCTGTCTAACTTCCCGGTACCTATTTACTGCTAGGTAACAGGGGCATCAGGGTGAAAAAAACATTTTGCCCATTTGTCTCCGCCTCCACCGGGGATTGGAAACCGAAACCACAGGGCTACGAATCCGAAGTGCTGTCCACTCGGCTGTCAGCCGCTCACAAGAATATGAGAAGGTTTTAAATTTGTTGAAGAATGGGCATGTTACATGAAAGGTTGTAAAACTAGGGTGAAATGTAGCGCTTAATTTACTATGGTATATAAAGCTGGTTCTCAAAATTTCAGCTAAACTAATTCACTAAATGTCTGATACCGTTAGCAACCAAATTTCAAATTTAAATGGTTAAAAAAAAAAAAGAAACCTTATTGGCTTACATTAATATTCACATTTAAATATCTGGGTGTATGGACTGGCTCGGGTTATGTTTGGATGGACAAATGACACGGCCTGGACTGGTCTGTGTTTGCCAATAATAATGTGTGCTGCTGTTGGGACAGACATCCTTATCTTCCGTCGGAGTATCTGGTGCATAAGGCAGCGGCACGGGCTCGACCCTACAGTTTTGTTTTTACCGGAATATCAAAGCCATGTTGTAGTACACCTGCATGATTGGCGAGTTATCACAAAGCAAGTGTGGCTGTAGGCGGGGCTTTGGGAGTGAAACTACTCCCAAACCCACTCGAATATACTCCGGGTGTTCCGTGTACTTGCCAATTTGTACGCAATTAAATAACAGAAATATTATTTAACAACCATTATTGAATTTGCATGTAAAGACAATCCTGTACCAATAATGTATTTTCTGCACAATGAACTCGCAATGATGTGAATGTATCTATGAGCAAATATTAAGGCGATATGGTGGGTAGAACATTCATACCTGGACTTCCAATACAAATGTCGAGCCTGGCCGCAGGCTGTCCTCGGAGTACAAGAACTCGCGAAACCTCCAGGTATGCATTACCCATGCAACCATAATTAAGTGGGTGTTGTGTGTGTATGCAGAGTCCATCACAGAAATATTGTTTGAGATTTTAATCTTCCCAAATTATATTAACCACCGTGCTGCACCGAGTTTATTGTGAAATTCCTCCATTGCGCATGAAATGGTACTCCCCCAAAAATGATTTTTTCTTCGTAAAAATGATAAATTCCCTTCCCTGAACATGTCTATGTAAAAATAAATACTAAATTCTACTTAGTTTGCTGTGGGGACGTGGACAAGGTGCACTGTGACGTCATTAGGGCCGGGTTGCCTATGCGTGAACCGCCAAGACACGGTCGCACGGGCCATTCAAGCACCGGGTGTTGCCACAAATATATTTTCAATTATTTGTTTTATGTATTTCCAATGTGGTTTTATTTGTTTTTTTATCGTATATGATGCACATTTGTGTCCTTTACAATATGTATACAGTAGAACGTTCATAATGTTCCATGGAACTGTGATACATGTCAGTAATGTGTCCACAATAAATGTTTATTGTTGCAATATTACCTGTTAAAAATTCACTAAAACTACAATATGTACTGTTTCACACACTACACAGTGACACACTGTATTACACACTCAGTACTTCGGAAGTGAGTAATAATCAACGAAGTAGCCCATGGTACACAGCGCAACTTCGCTCTCAGTGCACCAGGCACAGATAAATTTTTGCTTCCTGTTTCTTTATTCAGTGTGTTTGCAAATAACGCGATCACGTACACCCTTGGCTTTAGTACTTGTAGGTTGTATGTAGCCAAGCTTGTAAAGCATAAGGTAGTATTGAAAAGATTATAAGAAAAGATCAATTTGTAAGGTAGTCTTGAAAAGATCGCTTTGTATGGTCCCACACAGGAAGAGATTCAGCTTGCCTCAAAGAGTGTCCATCAGCCAGGAAGAGATTCAGGTATTCTTGAAAATATCTATGGAAAACACCACCATGGAAGCCACTAACACTGTTCATCTATGCTACTTGTATCAGATGCATCATCACTGAACGCAGAAAACGATTCATTTATGTATCATCTAAATAAATTGGAGATAGCATAGGATTGCAAGGGTGACGCTCAGAGCTACAACTATATACGCTCACTGTATCGTCCTCATAGGTGCTGTATCACTTGCATCTGGCCTTTGTGTTAGGTCCTTATTGCGCCTAGCTTCACCAATATTATGACCATTATGTTCTTCAAACAATAAGGTTTGAATTTCACCGACAGCGTTATCTTTCAACACTGCATCGGACAGGTGTTTGGGAGCCAGAGGCGCATGTGCCACCCATGGTTGCTCATTCAGTACTAACCCAGCCAGCAGCCCGAGGGCATTCTGGGAATTTTTTCCAAGATGGCTGCCTCTCACTGGAGGTCCTAAGAGTCCATTTCGTACACAACCAACCTTGTACACATTTAGAATTGTAACGAAAAATCTGAGTTTTCTCGGTTGGCGCGGTTTCCCGCCGACTGAGAATACTCGGTTGGCGCAATTAATGGGTCAAGAGCCACAGCCCTCTTGTGGCCTGTGTTCTCCAATAGTGCCTATGGTAAAACTGACTTGTGTTTGGTCATTTCCAGTCTAATCCCGTTACAATGTTCATATCTTATCCTTTAACCACTTAACACTTTTGCGCTCCTAGCAAAGGAAAAAAAAACTTTTCCCTTGTACGCGTGGCGTTTCGAGCGCTTACCAAACGGCAGCACCGAAAAGTGTATACTCTTTTCACTGTCCTGACACTAATTGTTGGTGTACGTATTTAATTTTTGTAGCAATGTGTTCGCAATAGAATTTTCTATAAGAACATACGTATAAAATGTCACCAAAGCATAAGCTAGACCACCACCAAATAAAGAACTACAGTGGTACCTCGGAATGCGATTGTCCCTGTATGCGAGGTTTTCGGAAGGCGAGGTGTATTTACTCCAAAAATTTGTCTCGGAAGGCGATGGTTACTTCGGGAG